GGCCACTAGATGGCAGAATGGTTCTCGCTTTCCAGAATGTACCAAAAAATACCTTTCCCCCCTTCTCTAGATGCGTTATTCACAGCAGTTCATAGTACCTCGATATGCATATTGTCATTTCTCATGAAGGCTATCAATCGCAGCCGTCCTTAAATTAATTATTATCTCCATATTCAGGACAGAATCATGGAGTTCAGGAACTAATCAAGCTAATATTGCCCATAAAATCCCATGTCTAATGTCTCTATGGATCCCCAGTGCTCACACGCTATTCTAGTATCTGCAACCTTCAACCATCTCCATCTCGTCAGCACAAGGACGAGACTAATGATTCTAGTACGTATATACTCCTTAGAGCGAGAGAGTGGCACATCACCTCAGGTGTATCAACATTGGTACAGCTGTCCGATGACCTAGCTTATCTTCAAGCTGGATCATGAAGTCTTCCAGCCAAGATCATCTCCTATTCCAGTCTGGTTCAAGAATTTTATCGGCTTAAACACTACTGTTTCCATCTGGAAACTATGGAAATGGTCCGAATTTACAGATGGAACCATCAAAAAAAAAATCCAACCAGAATTTTGGACTGGGAACAAATAAAAAAAAACTATAATTTTCAATTTCTTCATTTTTCGTAAAGAAACTTGGTTACCCGGTGGAAGTTTGGACCAAAGCAAGAGCTTCTTCACGAAAACGTGAAGAAGATAGACGAGCAGAAAAGAAGTGAAAATGAGCGTAGCACTCATCTTTATCAGTCGCTCCGAAATGCACTGAGACTTCACCACGATGGGAGAGTCTCGTGGGAGAGCCTCGGCTTACTGCGTGCCTCTGATAAACACGACCGGCCGTTCGTCTCTTCTGGACCGGGGATGTGGATGCACGTGAATGCATGTGAATATATGTGAATGCACGTGAATGCATGTGAATATATGTGAATGCACGTGAAGGAGGGCGATTAGGCGGCTCCTTGCGTTGGGATGCAACTCGGTCGAGTTTGCATACCTTCATGCCGAAGCTAAAATAAAGTTTTTATTTATTTATTTAAGGGTGTATTCTGATTGTGATTTGGGCGAGGTGCGACAGGGGACAATCTACGCCTTTTACACGATTCCTTTCAACGCAATGACAAATCTCTTTAAAGCGAAGTCTCTCGTGGGTGCTCCGAGCACAGGTCTCACTTCCCCCCGTTCCTGGTCGGGGAATGCAATCTTGGCTTGTGAGAGTCGATTGATTGCATGAAGCAGTCAAATTGCGACCAGCGAAATTGTGACGAATGGCGTTCGTTCTTCATTTTCGAGTCCATTTCGGCTAATAGAGTTCAGCAAGTCCAGGAGTTCCGATGTCCTCGATCCCACGGCAGCATATATACGAACCCTCCTCGATCTCGGCACTCACTGGTAAGGCAGGTGAAGACGCGTGAGAGAGAGAGCGTGAAGGCGCGTGAAGGCGCGTGAAAGGCGCGTGAAAGTCGCGTGAAAGTCCACCGTTCTCTCTCGCAGTTCTGAAAAATTGACATTGATATTCCAACTTGTGGACAAATAAACTTTAGCTCGGCACGATTGAATAATTTGGCGGTGTACCCACTTCTGTAAAAGCTCACCCGGGCCACAGTCACGTATTTCTGATGTAAATATCCAGAGGAACGAATGGCAGTCGGATGATTAACATGGCTTGCATGGCGCGCTCATTGGGAAGCCAACTACTTTCCTACAACCAAGGCATAATTTACCTTCGGGTGGGATATTTTCCCATTTCTGGGATCATCAAATAGAGACAACGCATTTTTTCGAAATTTCTTGAGGATGCACAACTTAAAAAAAGGAGCTATATACAAAACATCATACCATGTAACCGCAAAATTACTCTAGGACGTCCCTGAACTTTCCTTGGCATGTCAGAATTGTTATGTGGCAACATATTTTTATTTCATGTTCAGTTTCTCCTGTTGTTGGGACGAGATACATAATAATACACCTCTTGGTCAGAGG